TATTCAAGAGTTTCCTTTCAGATATAGCTGGGAAATGCTCCAGATATGGACGCTATTCTTTTGCTTATTCAGAGTTCTTTTCAGAGATGGCTTAGAGATGCTCCTGACCCGGACGCTATTCTATTGCTTATTCAGATTCAAACTCCTAAAGATAACTTAGAGATGCTCCAACCACGGATGCTATTCTATTGTTTATTCCAGATTTCTCTCCAGAGATGGCTTAGAAATGCTCCAGAGATGGATGTTATTCTTTTGCTTATTCAAGAGTTCCCTTTCAGATATAGCTGGGAAATGCTCCAGATATGGATGCTATTCTTTTGCTTATTCAGATTTTCTCTTCAGAGATGGCTTAGAAATGCTCCAGAGATGGATGTTATTCTTTTGCTTATTCAAGAGTTCCCTTTCAGATATAGCTGGGAAATGCTCCAGATATGGATGCTATTCTTTTGCTTATTCAGATTTTCTCTTCAGAGATGGCTTAGAAATGCTCCTGAGATGGACGTTATTCTTTTGCTTATTCAAGAGTTTCCTTTCAGATATAGCTGGGAAATGATCCAGAGATGGATGCTATTCTTTTGCTTATTCAGATTTTCTCTTCAGAGATGGCTTAGAAATGCTCCAGAGATGGACGTTATTCTTTTGCTTATTCAAGAGTTTCCTTTCAGATATAGCTGGGAAATGCTCCAAATATGGACGCTATTCTTTTGCTTATTCAGAGTTCTTTTCAGAGATGGCTTAGAGATACTCCTGACCCGGACGCTATTCTATTGCTTATTCAGATTCAAACTCCTAAAGATAACTTAGAGATGCTCCAACCACGAATGCTATTCTATTGTTTATTCCAGATTTCTCTCCAGAGATGGCTTAGAAATGCTCCAGAGATGGATGTTATTCTTTTGCTTATTCAAGAGTTCCCTTTCAGATATAGCTGGGAAATGCTCCAAAGATGGACGTTATTCTGTTGCTTAGTCAGAGTTGCTTATTCAGGGCTTCTTTTCAGAGATAACTTAGAGATGCTCCAACCACGGATGCTATTCTATTGTTTATTCAGAGATTCTTTCTCGAGATGGTTCAGATGCGATCCAGATATGGCTACATTCTGATACTTATTCCTGACTCCCTTCTAGAGATAGCTTAGAAATGCTCCGGACACGGATGCTATTCTATTGCTTATTCAGAGATTCCTTTCAGAGATGGCCTAGAGATGCTCCGGATCCGGATGCTATTCTATTGCTTATTCAGATTTCCTTCTAGAGATAGTTCAGATGCAACCAAAGCATGGCGATATTCTGATACTTATTCCAGATTCCGTCCAGAGATAGTTCAGATGCAACCCAGACATGGTGACATTCTGATTCTTATTCAGACTTCCTTTGAGATATAGCTTAGAGATGCTCCTGACCCGGACGCTATTCTATTGCTTATTCAGATTCAAGCTTCTAAAGACAACTTAGAGATGCTCCAGCCCGGATGCTATTCTATTGTTTAGTCCAGATTCATTCAAAAGCCAGTCCAGATACGATCCAGATTCGGATGACATACTGTCACTCATTCAAACACAGACTAGATATGCTCCAGACATGGAGGCCATTCTATTTCTTATTCGGACGCAGCTATCCATTACAGTTCCAAATGGCATCTATAAGCCCATTCTCGACAAGGTTCTGTCACACTTCCAGATGGCATCTATAAGCCCATCCTCCTATCCACCATCTCTCCGCATGGCATCTGTAAGCCCATTCCCCGACACCACACTGCTGATGCTCCACTATGTGAGTGCAAATTTATGGGCACTTTAGTGTTCAATCATCTTCCACCTTCGGATCACGAAAGGCACGCAAGCCAATCTACATCCTCAGGTCTAAGAAGATTGAACAGGGGAAACTGTTGTACCCCAAAATTTTCCCTCCCATATTCTTCAAAGTTTTGACAAGCATCATCTCAATTTGCTCAAGTCTACTCAAGGGTTGCACAGTCAAACCATCCTCCTAAGCCAGTCAAAATTAGGGTTTTAGTTCCTGCAAGGAAGTTGAGTTTTTCAAGGGCTCAATCAAGTCCCATATGCCCATATACATTGTCAAGCATCTACATGCCAAGTTTCAAGGCTCACAAGGTCAAATTGCACAGTCAAAAACCCTAATTGCCTCACAATCAACTGCAGGGGCAAAATGGTCATTTGGCAGTCAAAAGTCAAATTTTTTGGTCAACATCTTATTTTGAAGCCAAAATCATCATTTGATCAAGTCTTGATCATAATTCCTCAAGAATGGCTCAAAAATCATCAAGATGCAAAAGTTTCCATTTTTGGACAGCTGAAAAGTCAACTGTAACTTGACCAAGGCATAACTTTTTCATGGTTCATCAGAAAAATCCCATCCAATGCTCATTTTGAAGGGAATGACATTTCCTACAACTCATCTTCACATTCCAAGTCCAAGAAATGCTCTCACAAAAAGTTATCAATTTCAACATTATAGGTCATTTTCAAAAGTCAACAAAAAGGCATTTTAAGTCAAAGACCATAACTTGAGATTAGTAACTCAAAATGACATGGGACCAAAGGCATTGGTTAGAGGACTTCAAGACCTTTCCAAAGTGTCCAAGAACATGTTCATATGATCAAAATTGAGTAAGATATGCATTGGAGAAGTTGGGAAATTTTTGTGAAATGGCAAAAGTCAACTATCCTTGAAACTTCAATTTTTGACAAAAGGGCCCACTTTTTTCCACTTGATTCAGCCTTGTCATGCCACCCACGTGTCCCATGATCAATTTAAAGATTAAACATTAATTTTTCTATTTTATTTAATTTTTATTGATTTAATCCATTTTAAATCCATAAAATTCAAATAAAATCAAAAAAATTAATTAAAGGGGATCTTTGTGGTTTGAATGACCTTTATATGCCATTTACTAGCTGCCAAATTCGTGCAAGCTATTTTTTGTACACAAAATTTTGAATTTGTGCCAAGATGTCCAGATACATGTAAGCATGGAAAGGGAAAGTTTTGCAAATTTTGGAAGCTTTTTAATTTGTTGGATTTTGGTTTTGAAAGCATGGCTTTATGGCTTGGATTCTTGCCTTATTTCTTTGTCCCCTCCATCTCCTCTATAAATACAAGCCATGAGAAAGCATTACAGAAAAATACACACAGCCTAGAGAACGCCCCAAAATTGCAAAAATTTCCTTGAAGTTGTCAAGCTCGAAAGACCTGATCTAGCCAGATTCAACTACTTCCAAGCACTCCATCAACATCCCAGGTCCCCCAAATGCTTATTTCTATTTTTCCATAACATGTTCCTGTGCAGGTTTCACAAAGGCTTTCCACCATGTGCATCAAACGATCATGCGCCAAGTGGCCTCAAAGATCAATCCAGGGGCTATGAGATGCTGGATACCATGCTCCAAGTCAAAGCACGTGCATGCAATTCCTAAAGTCAACAAAGGCTTAAGCTTATTGGGCCATATTGCTTCTTCAAACCTCCATACCTGGGCCAACACCCCCATCGTTCTTTCATATTTTCTTTTGTTTTCTTTTCCTTTTTTATTTTCTTTTAACTAATTATTATTATTAACTATTATTATTATTATTTAATTCATAGATAATTATTTTCATAAACAAAAAAATCAAAAAAACTAATATTTTTATTATTCTTATTTATTAATTTCACTTTAATTCATTGTTTTGTAATTAAATTATAATTAATTAATTAGTTTAATTAGGCAATTTTAATCTTTTTTTTAATAACTAAAATAAATTTAGAATTAGATTTTATTAACTTTTAATTTTAATTCCTTTTTATTTTATTTCATTAAAAATATAAAAACACAAAAATATTTTATTTTAATAAATTAACTAATTAGTTTAACAATTAGTTTTAATCTCATTTAATCACAAAAAAGACAAAAAAATTCATTTCTTTTCTTAAAAGGGTCAAAACCCTTAAGGCATTCCCGATTAATTTTTATTCGCGCGCATTTATTTCATTTTGATTATTATGTAATTGCTTTCAAGAATGTAATAGTAAATAGGTTTACCGCTTTATTTAATTTCTCGTACTTATTTACCAAAACGAGTATTTGTATTTTTGGCGATGTATAGACCTGCGCCTTGTAATAGCGTAGAATTTATCTTTCCGCAATTTACTTTCCGCACCCCTAACTGTTAAATGCATGAAAGAATGTATGTAAATAAAATTAATCCGTAGCTCACAAATAACATGTACAAAAAACAATTAACTGAAAAACAGCACACAAAGCACATGCCACTTCTAGGGTACGCTTCACTCGTTGCCTCGAAACGTGGTCATCAAGTATAGGACGTCTTAGAGGTCGCCCTTTGTCTAAAGATCCAGTTGCCTCGAAACGGTTGCCTCGGATAAAAGGATCTAGGACATTATAGTTACTTCTAAGGTGTCCTACCGTTGCTTCGGTGACCACACTGTCCCGATAATCGAATTGACCCGAACACCTCCAACGATGGTGCTACCTACCTCTCAATGGTGGGATAGCACTATCTAAAGGACACTTACACAGCTTAATTCCTTAGGGTAGGTAGATGACTCATGGGTACTTGCTCTTTTCAAAAACAAACAAAATACTTTTCACACCTTACACTTTCAAAAAGTTTTCAAACAATACTTCATACACTCTTGAGGACTGATACAAGAGTTACCTAGAAGTTTTCAAACGAACTTTTTCAAAACCCACACACATTTGAAAAGCAAACAATTTTTGAAAACATAAGAGAAAGTACCTAAGAGCCCGTGGATAACCACGGATAGAAAGGGTGCTAACACCTTCCCTTTCTATAAATCTACCTCCCGAACCGAGAGAAATCTCAAATAAGGAATTTTGCTGTGCTTTTGTCCTTTCCATGTTGGAGAACATAAAAGACGGTGGCGACTCTTACTTATCGCGACATTTCGCGAAACCAGCTTAAAAACAGTCAGTTCTATTTCCACCGATCACACATGGCAATTGGCTTCCGGTTGACATCTTACACATCATGGCTCCTCCCTTGGTAGACGCCATGTTGAACGCCATGTGTGTATTTTTCAGTAAAAATCTCGACTTCTTGCTCTTTTGGCTTCATTTCCTCAAGAAGGTCTCTTACAAGGAAAAGTACCTGAAAATAGGACAAAAAGTAAACATAACACAAGAAAATAACAATAAAACTCTAATAAACATGTGCAATTTGAGTCAAATATGTGGTGTGTTTTAGTGTTATTAAGAATTCCAACCTTTATGGAATCTGGGACCGAGCAAGAAGAGAGATTCCAGGTGTTGTGGTCGATGAAGTGATTCACCATAAGCTTGTCATTCAAATTGGAATAAGAAGAATCCAAGAACATAGGGGTGCTACACCAGTTGTCAAACCAGAATCTGATATATGTCCCGTTACCCATCATCTAGACAAAATTATTGGACAAGTTATTATATTCCGATTTGGCACTAGTCCATACGGAGGAAAATAAATGAGATTTGTGAAGCCGGTTATTTCTGAGAATCCGTTGTTTGAGAATTGAAGCCCATGACTCCTTCGAAGTAAAAACATCCTAGCAAAGTTTAATATTGTTGGCCTCATTAAGAGCAATAAACGAGCGGATGCCCAACCCTCCTTCAGAGATAGGTTTGCACATTTTTATCCAAGCCACCGTAACATTTTTCCTTTTTGTTGTGTCCCCACTCCAAATGAAATTCCGAGAAGCACACTAAGTAACGAAATTGGCCAAGAGTAAACAGACATAGAATGTGTAAGCATACTTTGGATAGTTGACTTGACCAACTCAACCCTACCCACGAAGGACAAAAGAGAACATTTCCAAGAAGCGAGTTTGTCAATTATCTTATCCGTAACCGGATGGAGATAGCAAACTTTAGAACGACCCTTGAAGATAGACACTCCAAGGTAGGTAAAGGCAAAGACCCAGCCTTGAACCTGATAGATCTTTCAAAATATTCAGCCTAGAGGCCGACATCACACCACCGAAAATCAAAGATTTCTCACAATTAATAACTTGACCCGACGCTACCGAGTACTCCATGAAAGCATTGTAAAGAGACTTAATACTCGAGATCTCCCCTCTACAAAAAAACTAGGATATCATACGCATAGAGGGAGTGAGACGGAACACTGACATTGTTAGGAGCTTTGATTAATTCCAGTTGGCCCGAAAGAACAAGATTGGAAAGGTGTCTACTTAGGACATCTTCGACTAAGTAGAAAAGCAAGGGGGATAACGGATTTCCTTGGCGAACCCCATTAGTACAGTTGAAATAACCATTAAGCGAGGCGTTAACAGAGATGGACAGAAAGGCGGACTGCAAAATGCTCCAAATCCAGCTGCAGAAGGAGTTATTAAACCCAAACCGATTTAAAACTTTCAAAAGAAATGACCACTTCAAGGTGTCGAAAGCTTTTGTAATATCCACTTTCAAAAAAATGTTACCGCACCAAGATTTGGAGTCAAGCAAATTAATAGCCTCCAAAGCAAGACCAATACTATCCTTAATATGTCTTCCTTGAATAAATCTGCGTTGTTCACTAGAAATAAGATGCGTCATTAAGAGAGCTAACCTATCAACCAGGATTTTAGAGATGATTTTGAACTTGAAATTCGCCAAAGCAATCAGAAGAAATTGATCTAGGTAATTGGTATTTTGGTTCTTATGAATGAGTATAATGGCATTGGTGTTATACCCAGGCAGAACCCAACCAGAAGTAAAGAACTGCAACAACAACATCTTCTTTGATAATATCCCAAAAACTGTGATAAAAAGAAGCACCAAACTCATCCGGACCAGGGGCACTGTCGCTGTTAAGAGCAAAAACCGTAGATTTAGTCTCCTCTTCAGAGGGAAAGAATGGTAAGCAAACCATTCACACTGTCTGTAACCAGACAGGGAATTGCGTTCTCCACTAAATGAGAGTCCTGCAAAATAGAAAAAGAGTCAGTTGAAAAAATCGGCTTGAAGTGATCAATGGCATGCTCCACGATTAAAGCCTGATCAGTGATACGGTCAGTCCCCTTCATGAGAAGGTTAATGGGTTTAAAAGTGCCTATGGTTTTGGTTAATCGGTGGAAGAAAGTGGTGTTTCGGTCTCCCTCGAAATGCCACTTAATTCTGGATTTCTCTTTCCAAAATTATTCCTCTATACTAACGGTCTTCTCAATATTGGTTTGATTGGTGTGGATTTAGATGAATAAGTTGTAGATTGTTGAGATCACCCCATAACTTTCTCCTTTTGGATTGATTGGTGGAAGCGTAAATCACCGGAAAAGCCAGAACATTTTTATCCACACAAATAATGAACGCAACAAACTGTTATGTGGTCTGAAGAATAAAATGAAGATCCTTCCTGCAAAAACACCAGAGAGAAGGTAAAGGGTTGGTGCTGAAAGCAAAAAAGCGAAAACCAAGGTTGGAAAACCAGTTGATAGGAAAATTTTTGTAACTCATTTTGGGTTCAGGAATGAAAATAAAATCGGGCTTGTGAAGATTGATGAGCCTCTTAAGTGTTAATCTCGGCGGAGCTTTAGCAACTCCCTTGATATTCCAAAAAAGATTAATCATTGAGAATGCTTCTTGAGGCTTGCTTTGGACCATGTTCCATATTTTAATTGGGATTTGACTGGAGATTATATATTCTTAAGATTCAAGACAGCCGAAGTAAACGGCCCTTCGTGACTACCTTCCTTTTGAGAGTTTTCTGCATCAAAATGAGCTAAAGTCTCCCATGAGTTCTTTAGAAAATTACTGTCCAAATCATGTCAATCATCTTCAATATTGACATTGAAAGCTGAGAGTTAGAGTCATTAGATAACTAGGAAACAAAATTTTGGAAGGGTTTCGTAGGCCGAAGAATCGGTTCCTCATGAGAGTGGTTTTTTGGAGAAACCCGTGGCACAATCTCGACCTGAGAAGAGGGAGGATTCTCTTGGGTGGGAGCTTGAGGGCTTGTAGAATTTGTAATGGAGTTATCATTAGCTGGAACTCGTTGATTTATTTTGGGAGCAAAAAGTTTGCTAGTGAAAATGGTATTACTGGGAATTGTTTGTTTCTGGATTTGTTGTTTAGATGGGTTATGTTAGAGAATTAAATTAATGTTATTTAATTTAATTATTTGTTATTATTTATTCAACTAAACTCGGTCAATGTTGTTTGTTTATTCATGCTTAAAATCATGGTCTCTATATCATGTTAGTGGCCTTATGGAGAGGTTTTAGAAATCTCTATAACTGTCATATTTACTCTTGTATAAGAGGTAAAATATCAGTTAATAAAATAACATAAAAAACTTCTTCAAATATCCTTGTCTTATATGGTATCAGCCGCTGATCTATCTCTTCTATAAAATCAAACACCATGGCTGCTGAATTTTCCACCACCATTACTAACCCAAACGACGGCGCCCGCCCGTTCGTCATTGTGCACTTCACCAACGCCATAAAACTTACCACTTCAAACTACATAACCTGGAAGTCGCAAATTCAGGCGACTCTCACCGGATATGACCTGTTCAAGTTTCTCAACAGCGACCACCCTGCTCCGCCTACAACTCTCAATGCCAACAACGTCACCACCCCCAACCCGACATTCAATTCCTGGATGCGTCAGGATAAACTCCTTTATGGCGCTCTAGTCGGTACCCTCGACACCTCTGTGGCTCCGTTGATCACTCGAGCCACCACCTCAAAAGAAGCATGGGATATTCTCGCCCGCACCTATGCCAACCCATCAAAGGGCCACCTTAATCAACTCAAAGCAAAGTTGCGCTCCTCAACAAAAGGCTCTAAGTCGATCACTGAATACATTCAATCGGTCACTTCGACCGCGGACCTCCTCGCTTCGCTCGGAAAACCGGTTGACGATGACGACCTTGTCTCCTATGTCCTCGAAGGTCTCGATGGAAATTATCAGTCCATTGTTGACGCGATCAAGGCCCGGGATACCACCATCAATGTTGACGAGCTTCATGAGAAGCTCATCGTCAGGGAACATGAACTCCACACTGCAGCAACCAACTCGGGCGCACCAGCAACAGCCCTGAACACACAGTCTCATCCTCGAAACAATCGGCAACGCCGTCAACAGCCATCCAACCGCTCAACTCCCACTCACTTCCGCACTCCTCCCATGGCCCCCCCGCAACACGCTCGACCCTTCCTCGGCAAATGCCAATGGTGTCGTGAAATAGGCCATGTCGTTGCCTACTGTCCTCTCTTCCGCCAACAGCATCCGGTCGCTCGTCCTCCAACATTGCCCAAAAATCATGCACCTCATACCCCACCTCAAGCTCACACTGCCAACACTGCCTCCGCCTCTCAAAACTTCATAGTCGACAGCGGTGCAACGCATCACGTTGTCAACGACCTCGACCAACTCTCCCTCCATTATCCCTACAACGATCCAGACGAACTATTCATGGGCAGTGGTGAAGGTTTGCGAATCACTAACTCTGGAACTCTTTCACTTAACACTTCTGCATCTATGTTTAAATTAGTTGATACTCTTTGTGTTCCACAAATGACCAAAAACATTATCTCTGTTTCTCAACTTTCAACTCAACAGAATTGTGCTATTGTTTTCTTACCCAATTCTTTTCATGTTAAGTGTCTCAAAACAGGTAGGATTCTTCTTAATGGACCTTGTAGAGACGGCTTATACATGTGGCCCACATCCTCTCCTACAGTTTTGTCTTCGTCCCACGACTCCAATCCACAATGGCACCACGTCTTAGGTCATCCATCTGCTGCTACATTCAAATTAATTCAACAACAACTTCAGATTAGCTCCCCCACTTTTGAGCAATCTGATTGCACCTCTTGTCAATTAAATAAGAGTCACAAGCTCCCATTTCATAATTCTAGTCTTTGTTCAAATTATTTTCTTGAAGTTATTTTCTCGGATGTATGGACCTCTCCTATATTGTCGTACGATGGATTCAAATATTATGTTGTTTTTGTTGATCACTTTACACGATATTCTTAGATTTATCCACTCAAACGCAAATCCGATGTCCAAAATACATTTATTAAATTTCGATACTTGTCGAAAATTACTTCAAAACAAAAATCAAAGTATTCTATTCTGATAATGGCGGCGAGTTTATTGCTCTTAAAAATTTCCTAAGTCAACACGGAATAAGTCACTTTACTTCACCACCACATACTCCTGAACACAACGGTATATCCGAACATAAACACCGTCACATAGTCGGAACTGGTCTTGCCCTACTAACACACTCTGGTATGCCACTTGAGTTTTGGCCTCACGCACTTCTCACCGCGGTATATCTCATCAATCGTCTTCCCACCCCAACTCTACAAAATCGATCACCTTTTTCTATTATTTTTAAACAAAATGCAGATTATGTTAAGTTAAAAAGTTTTGGTTGTTTGTGTTTTCCATGGTTAAAACCATATACTTCTCATAAATTAGAATCCAGATCTGTTGTTTGTGTTTTTGTAGGTTACTCCACAACTCAACATGCTTACTATTGCATGGACCCGAAAACCCGACACGTCTACACCTCAAGGCACGTCAAATTTGTTGAAACCGAAATCCCGTTTTGGCAACAACCCAAAACTACACAAAATTCAGAACAACATACAAATTAGACCACTTTATCAGTATCCATCCTCCCATGTCCCAGGCCACCTCCATCTCCGTCCCAATCAGCCTCATCATATCCTAGTTATCCACCTACCCCATCACCAGGCTCACTAAAATCCACCCCCAACCCCCCTAATTCTCCCAGTCCAACGAGCTCCGCAGGCCTCTCTCAAACAAATCCACTCATATCTCCATCATCCTCTATATCCAGTCCCTTCGCTGCCACTGCCTCTACCTCTCAGTCCTCATACCCAGAACCACAATCAACACCGCCACCCACTCAAATCATCCCGGATCGTGGCATCGTCACTCGATCCCAAAACAACATCTTCAAACCCCTCCACAAGATGAACCTCTTTGCCACTCCTCATCCACCCATTGAACCACGAACAATCACGCAAGCTCTCAAGGATCGAGCATGGCGGGAAGCAATGCAAAAGGAGTATGATGCCTTATGCGCCAACAATACCTGGACTCTAGTTCCACCCCACCCCACACAAAACTTGGTTGGTAGCAAATGGGTATTTCGAACCAAATATCTTCCAGATGGTTCTATTGATCGTCTAAAGGCAAGGCTCGTCGCAAAAGGCTTCCATCAACGACCCGACTGGGATTTCCATGAGACGTTCCGCCCCGTGGTCAAACCGGTTACTGTTAGAGTCATTCTTACGTTAGCCGTCTCCAAGGGTTGGCACTTGCGTCAACTCAACATCAACAATGCGTTCTTGCAAGGTTCACTTTCTGAGGAGGTGTATGAAATTCTGGCAGCAGATACTCAATGTCACAGTGAATGTTATGACACCGTATCTGACTTTCTATAAGACAGTAAAAAAAACAGTAAAGAACACAGTCAATTATTTACCCAGTTCAGTGTGAAACAACACCTACTCTGGGGGCTACCAAGCCAGGGAGGAAATCCACTATAAGAGATATTAATTCAGGAATAAACCAACCAATTTATCTCCTTCACTTAAGACCTACCCAATGCAACTTCAATCTAAGTTCAACTTAAACCTGAGTTCCTACTCACTCCCCCTCAATCACAGCAGTGATACTAAACAATTGACTAATGAATTAATGAAGACACTCTTCAGAACATACACTTGATTATGCTTCACAGCTTTTAATCAAGTAACACAACCACTCGTGCTTCAAAGCTTTGAGTGATACATAAACCTAACTTGACCTTGCTTCAAAGCTTTAGTCAAGTGACACAAACACTCTTGCTTCAAAGCTTTGAGTGATACACAACCCTTACAATCAAAACCTATTCCAAGTCACTTATCACAATGATACTTGCTTGGATTACAGTAGTTAAAAACTATACAGCCCCTAATTGATCTTCTGTCAAAGAGTTGATTTTCCAACAGCTTTCCTGTTGAATATATATGCAGCTGTTTCTTCAGCTAGGGCTTCCACGAAAAGCTAGGGTTAATTAGGGTTAACCTCAAGACTTGGTCACAAGACTTTATCAACCAGATTAGGGTTGAGCTCAGTTAACCTAAAGTCCACGTGAGATTCTGTTCTGGAATGTATGAACCAAATTCCTGAAAAATCTCAGAATTAACCAAACTGCATAACTGTTAGATCAGTACAGGATGTCTTAACATTTGTTATGACAACAGAAATCCTGTTTACTGATTTTGGTAGAAAGTAATAAATGTGATCATTGCAAAATGCTCAGATACACACTCATAAATAGCAGCTTCTGTATGCCATTCTTTTTCTGCATAAAGTACCTAATAACCCAGAATGTTATGACATCAGTCATGACATTCACACACCTGGTTTTACCAAAAATACATGCCAATAACTAAACACTTACAAACTCCCCCTTTGGCAAATTTTTGGCTAAAACCCCTAAGCAATCAGAGAATAGAGAGCAGCAGAATGAATATGTCTGCAGAAAAAAATAACGTCTACCAAGTAATTAACACAAAATATCTCCCCCTCTTTAG